GACAAGTCAGGATGGTGCGTGACCTGGAGGTGATGGTGTTCGCGTTCCCTGCTGCTTCTCGTTCGTGGAGGCTGAGTATTTGGAAGATTCTGATAAGGTTATGGTCAAGTTGTATGTAATGAAAATCCCCCTCCTTTAGTCCCTCCCTTCACATAGAAGCCAGAGTCTTGTGAGAGATTCCCTCTCACTCTGTTGTTGTTTGTTTAACATCAATTTCACAGGATATGAGAAGGGGAAGATTTACAAACCAACCATTATAACATGATCTGATGGAGTTGTCAGTTTTATCACAAATGGAACGTGATCTGATTTTGACATGGAAGGAAACTGCCCTGGAGGGAAACCGTACACGTGTTGTGTGTGGACAAGGTTTCAGCCAATTATCAGGCTTCACAAACCACAAATGCAGTCACACTGGGGAGAAACTATGGAAATGTGGGGATTGTGGGGAGGAATTCATTTCCCCACCTGAGCTGGAAACTCATCGACGCAGTCACACCATTAATAGGCCATTCACCTGCTCAGTGTGTGGGAAGGGATTCATTCAGTCATTTCGCCTGCTGCAACACCAGCTCATTCACACTGAGGAGAGGTCATTTCAATGCCTGGACTTCAGAAAGTGCTGTAAAAGTTCCAGGACTGTTATGCCATCAATGCGTTCATACTGCAGACAAACCTTTTAAATCCTCAGACTGTGGAAAATGCTTTAAAACTTCGAGGGAGATGTCATCCCATCAATTACCTCAAATTAATGAGAGACCAGACTGTGAAAAAAAAACACAGAGTTCACACATCTCAACAGCGATTTGATTTTGCAGTTCATCACATTCAGGACTGAAGCTAATGTTTTAATATTTTGGATAAAAATCACGCCAATTAGCCATACCTCAAAAACAGTGTGGCAGATCATCGTAAGGATGTGATCACGGAGTACTTGGCAGAGTCGGCACAGCTTCATCAAGAGGAAGTCATACCTGACAAATCTTGGAATTCTTTGAGGAGGTCCTGAGCAAGTTAGGTGAAGGAGAGCGAGTGGAAGTGACGTGTTTGGATTTCCACATGACATTTGACAAGGTGCCACATGGGAAGTTGTTAAATAAGATAAGAGCCCGTGATTTCGGGGCCAAGGTACTGACAAAGCTTGAGGATTGAGTGACTGGCAGGGCTCTTTTTCAGGATGGCAGCCAGTGACGAGTGGCATTCAGCAGGGGTCAGTGTTGGGACCACAATTATTCGCATTATTCATTAACAATCTGGACAAAGAAATTGAGGGTACTGTTGCAAAGTTTGCAGATGACACAAGATACGTGGAGGGACGGGTCGTATTCAGGAAGCAGGATGATTGCAGAATTACTTAGACAGGCTAGGAGAGTGGACAAAGAAGTGGCAGGTGGAATACAATGAGGGAAAATGTGAGGTTATACATTTTAATCGGAAAGCTAGAGGCATCGACTATATTCAAAATGGGGAAACGCTTCAGAAATCTGAATCACAAAGGGACTTGAGAGTTCTAGTTCAGGATTCTCTTCGGGTTATATTGCAGGTTCAGTTGTTTGTTAGGACGGCAAATGCAATGTAGGCATTCATTTCAAGACAACTGGAAAACAGGAGCAGATATGTACTGTTGAGTCGAAACAAGGCTCTGATCACACTGCATTTGGAATTTGTGAGGAGTTTTAGGCCCAGTATCTAAGAAAAGATGTACTGGTGTTGGAGGGTGTCCAGAGGTGGTCTACAAGATTAATCACATGGATGAAGGACTTGTCATATGAGGAATGGTTGACGACTCTGTTCTTGATAGAGTTTAGAAGGATGGGGTGGGGGATGGGAATCTGATTGAAACATACAAAATACTGAGGGACATGCATCGAGTAGACATGGAGAAGATGTTTCCACTATAGGTGAGACCAGGACCCGGAGCACCACCTCAGAGTGAAGGGATGACACTTTAGAACTGAGAGAAGGAGGAATTTCTTCAGACAGAGGGTGGTGAATCTGCAGAGTTAATTGACACAGAGAACTTTGCAGGCCAAGTCGTTCAGCGTATTTCAGATAGTAATGGATGTTTTCTTGATTAGTGAGGGGATGAAGGGTAATGGGGAGAAGGCAGGAAAATGGTTTTGGGAAACATATCAGCCATGATTAAATGGCAGAGCAAATTTGATGGACTGAGTGGTCTAATTCTCTTCGTATATCTTATGATATTTTGGCAATAGTTCAAATAAAATTTGGTCCCTTTTGCAGTGCGTTGCATCTCCCTTGTGGTAGTAGTTGCTGTAGCCCCAGAGAACCACAGGACTGTCCTCTCACCAGAGAGAGAGAAAGAGATATGACTCGTGATGAGTTTAACTTGAGAGAGCTCCTATTTATGAGACCCAACTGCTGGTCCCTCTGCCATGTTCCCACTAAACTCCTGACCATCCACCTCTCTCCGTGTGATGGATATTGTTAACAATTCTCTCTCTCTCTCTTCTGGTTCTGTCCCGCTCACTGATAATTCCACCATCATCAACCTTCTTGAGAAATACTGACTCTTCATCCTACCATCTTTTCAAACTGTCCATCTCCAACCTCACTTTCATTGATAATTAAGAATTAGAGACCAAGTGTAATGTGTCAAAGTTCACAGATGACACAAAGGTGAGTGGTAGAGCAAAGTGTGCAGAGAACACTGAATGTCTACAGAGGGATATAGATAGGTTAAGAGAATGGGTACGGGTCTGGCAGATGGAGTACAATATTGAGGTTATCCAGTTTGGTTGGAATAATGGCAAAATGGACTATAATTTAAATTATGAAACATTGCTGCATGTTGCTCCGCAGAGGACCTGGATGTCCTTGTGCATGAACCAAAAAAAAAAGGTATGCGGATGCAGCAGGTAATTAAGAAAGGAAATGGAATGCTGACCTTCATTGGTAAAAGAATGAAGTTGAAAAATAGGGAGGTTATGCAGCAGCTGCATACGGTGCTGGTGAAGCCACACCTAGAGTACTGTGTACAGTTTTGGTCTCCTGACTTGAGAAGGGATATACTGGCACTGGAGGGCGTACAGAGGAGTTTCACTAGGTTAATTCCAGAATTGAGATGGCTGATGAGAAGAGATTGAGTAGACTGAGACTATCCTCATTGAATTTCGAAAAATGACAGCAGAGGTCCTAAAATTATGAATGGAATAGATAAGAGGGAAGCAAGGATATTGGGTGGGTGGAACTGGAACTGGGGAACATTGTCTAAAATAAGGGAGAGCAGATTTAGGACTGAGTTGAGATGGGACATCTTCTCCCAAAGGATTGTGAATCAGTGAATTCCCTGCCCAGTGAAGAATTTGAGACAACCCCATTGAATGATTTTAGGGCAAAGATTTTCGAACAGTAAAGGAAATGAAGGTTATGGTGAGTGGGCAGTTAAGTGGAGCTGAATCGATGAAAAGATCAACCATGATCTTGTTGAATTTTAGACCAGGTTCAATGGACCGAATGGCCTTCTCCTGCTCCTATTCCTTTCGTTCCTCTCGAAATTACCTGAACTTAGTTGTCCCTCAAGGATCTATCCTTAGCTCTCCTGTTATACCTTTTGTTATAATAGACTCTAAGATGTATCCAATGACAGATGTTAAGCTAAATGGTCTACAGTTAACTTTTTTTTCCCTACATAAAGGTACTAAACTGGCAGTTTTCTAATCCTCTGGGACTCTTCCAAACTCGAAATATTCTTTTAAGATGACTACCAGTGATGCACGATCTCAGCAGCTAGTTTGTTTCATATCCTTCGATGCAACCCACCAGATCCAGGCCTTTAATTGGTATTTAGCTCCATGAGTTTTCCTAACGTTTCATCTCCAATGATATTCATTGTATTTATTTCCTATCCTTTTTTTGCCTTTTGGCTATAAAACAATTTTGAAATGCTACGAGCGGCTTCTACTGTGAAGACTGGTGTAGTGTATTTATTCAACTCTTCCGCCATTTTGTGGCTCCCCATTATTATTTTCCCAGTTCATTCTCTCAAGAGCCTGTGCTCACCAGATTTAGACAGGCAGATTTTTCTTTTTAATCAGTAGAGAAATTAAGGCTTATGGGAAATGGCAGCACAGTGGAGTTGATGATGATCAGATCTGCCACGATGGCCTACTCCTGCTCCAGCACCTTGTGAATGGCAGTGTTGTTAATCCATGGTGGAAGCCCCCGCAATTGGCTGATAGCTGCTGCATCTAATTTGGATTAGATGTTTTCCTTGTGGATATTATCAGGCACGAGCAATCATTCCAACTCACTCGATTCCTGTTCTTGTGGGAAGGATTGTCGTTATTTGTACATCAAACTCGAAGCAATGTGACAATTTTCCACACAAGCACGAGTTGCGCCATCGAACTGTGACTGTGACTGAGAAGTGCAGCTTTTCCTGAATTTGGCAGAGACAGAAATCTGCCTGGGGGATTAAAACATTGCCTTCTGGGAGAGATAGTTTGGATTTGGAAGGAAACAATTCATTCCAGGACTTTGGACGGGAAAAGCAGGTTCAAAATGAGACAGTAACTTGCAGGGATGGTGGGGTTGAAACATGAATATGGCAGTTTTACAAAAAAAGGGACAGTGCCAGCAAGAGAACTATTAACAAATGCAGCAAATAGAGATATTCAGTGGTCAGACATTTCATGGGAATAGGGCCGTTGTAGCAGGAAGTGAGAGTCTTGGACAAGGTGAGCTCTAACATGGCATGTTAGGAAATTGAGACAGAGTGGAGACTAGTAAATGTCCAGGGCTCATACATGGAAAAAAAAACAAAAAAAACTTTTGAGGCAGCTTGTCCCAGTGAGCGAATGGGAGAGAGGGAAACAGGACAGAGATCTGATCAGATTTTCTCAATCTTAGTGACAAAGAAGCTCCATGCGTTCCTTGTACTTATTGTTGGAGGTGAGGATCGAGGAGGGAGGAGAGAGGGAGAGCCCTTTAAAAATAACAAACTTGTGTTCGATATTAAAAAGATTCACCACAATGTGTAATTGACACATACCTGATTTATTTGACACCCAGAGTACTAACACCTTTAACTTGGTTGGACTTTATTAATATCAACAGAATCAGAGCCTGATATACATGGATCAGTTCTGGATGTGATGAGCAAGACAATCCCAACACCAGAACTACTTGTGATATCGCTGATGTCTCACCAGATGGGATGAATTAGCAAATTTCTTCTCACACTCGGAGCAGGCATATGATCTGTCCCCAGTGTGAACTTGCTGGTGTGACTGAAGATGAGATGATTGAGTGAACTTCTTCTGACACATGAAACATGTGAACGGCTTCTCTACAGTATGCATGCATTGATGTAGAGTGAGTTCGGAAGAATGTTTGAACCTCGTCTCACAGTGAGAACACTTGAATGGTCTCTCATCTGTATGACCACTTCAATGGTGTGTCAGTTCCCCGGAACTTTTGTCGTACTTCCGACTGTCTGCACATTAAAAGATCTCTCAGAAGTATGAACCTGCTTGTGTCTCAGCAGGTTGGACAAATTAGTAAAGTCCTTCTCACAAACAGAGCAAGTGAGCGGCCTCTCCCCAGTGCAAACTCGCTGGTGTTGCAGCAAGTGCGCTGACCGAGTGAAGTCCTTCTCACACACGGAGCACAGGAACAGCCTCTCCCCAGTGTGACGGCACTGATGAGTTTCCAGCTCACAGGGGAAATTAAATGCCTTCCCACAGTCCCCACATTTACACCGCTTCTCCCTGTCACGACTGCGCTTGTGTTTAGACAGGCCAGATGATTGGCTGAAGCTGCAACCACACACATAAAACGTGTGCGGTTTCTTCCCACTCTGAGAGGTGTTTTCTTCTTCCATGGTCAAAATCCAATGATATTCCGGTTACAATAAATTGAGTAATTTTTCAAATCTTGGTGAGATGTTTGGTTTAAATTTACCAACTGCAAATCCTCACCCTTGAATACACTGTAAAATTGATTTAAGCAGAAAGAGTGAATGAGAACCCACAAAAACATAAAGGCAGTATGTGAAATTGAGCTGAATGAAACTGGTGATTTGTGGGGAATAATCATGCCTGCACCTACCTGTCAAGCCATGTATAGTTTTGTTGCAGTTCTCCCAGCAACCTCATGAGTCTTTCCTTGTCTCGTATCTCGCAGCAATTACTCATTCAAATCCCATATTCAACACTCCGGTTGGTTAAACTGAATTTTCACCAGAAAACTTGCTGATGAAAAAATGAAGCAAGGCCTGGGGTCAGTCTCTGAAAGCCTTGTTACAAACCAATCCAACAGCATTTCTTCGCCCTGGAAGGTAAATGTAAATTGATACTTCTCCAGATTAAAGGAATTCAACAAAATCTGTCGGATGTGTTTATTGGATAGATATAGAAACCATTTCCTCAAGTGAGGGAATTGAGAACAAGGGGACATTATTTGGAGATGATGTGAAATCTTCATTCAAACAATTCTTCATACAAAGGATAGCAAAAGTTGCGAATGAAAACAGAACATGTTGGAAAATCTCATAAGTTTGGGCAATATATGTGCAGAAAGAAATAGTTAATGTTGCAGGTATGTGAATTTTTATCAGAACTGGGAAACATAAGAAATGTAATAGGTTTTGAGTAAGGTTTGGGTTAGACTAGTACAAAAAGATGGTCTG